TACAAAGAAGGAGGCTAAAGGCCTAGAGAAAGTTTAGACTAGAATACGTCGGGGGTAGGAAACCCCCATAAGATCATGATCGAGCCATGGCCCTAAGCCACCAGGAGGATCCGACACACGATGCAACCCAAGAGGATACGATGCCGCCAAACCTGCCATGTAGTCCGCCGCAAAATTAGTTTTCCTATGCACATGGTTGAGTCTCCCGCTCCAACTATACTGCAACAAGCTACGGATAACCCACACTATTGCTGTATGTGCTCCAAAATCGTCACCATCACCAAGCACCATATTCTTTACACATTGGCTATCCACCTCTACTGTAACCTGGCGAAAGCCTAAGTCCCAAGGCAATTGGAGACCCTGAAATAGTCCCCACAATTCGGCGCCCGTGATGGTGCAGGCCCCTATGTTCATGAGAAACCCCGCTCTCCAACTACCGACCTCGTCACGGAGAAGGCCTCCCACACAGCTCAGTCCCTTTGTCCTATTGTGAGCTTCGTTCGTATTTATTTTTATCCATCCTATATCGGGCGGCTTCCAACGAATCGTTCGAGTAACGTGTATGGCAGCCCCGACTTTGATATAATCTACCGTCGCCCGAATATAGCTCTCCGTGGATCTCATCACCTCCAACCTTCGCGCTTCAACGCTCATCGCCGTATTTTGAAACACCCGCTCATTTTGCCATTTCCATAAATGCCACACGGCAATAGCAAACGCGCTACTCCAGTGCTCGCACTTCCCCAGGCGCAATTTCAACAAATTGTTGAGGATCCAAGCTTTGAGAGGCTGCTGGAAAAAAAATGGACGAATGTGGAAAAAGCTTAAGGAATAACCAGATATTTTTTTTTCATTTTACACGAAAATTATTTTTTTTTATTTTTTTATTCTTTTTACGGCGGCGCCGCGATTGCGGCTCTATTTGGGAGAGGCGCGCCGCGATTGCGGCGCTGTTCGGGAGAGAGGCGCCGCGATTGCGGCCGCACTACGCGGCCTCCCCATTTTATGCCGCGGAGCGCGGCCGTCTACGAGGCTGGAAGCCGCGTTTCGGCCGCCGCCCGCGGCCAAGAATATTTTNTATATATATATATATTTAATATATAGTTTATTTTATTTTCGTTTCTTTTAGTTTATTTAATATATAATTTATTTTAGTTTACTTAAATAATAGATAATTAAAAAAATGTATAAATAGTAGCAATTTAATTAATTTCATATATATTATTATATATAATATTAATGAAAAAATATTAATAATATATTATTAAGAATCAAATATATTAATATTTAAAATATATTAATATGTATACTAATTATTAGTTTAAAATTTTTTATTTAGGCTGATGAGTATGTTGCCGAGTTCGAGGGTTCTGGACCCCAACACACATCCACTCGTAATGTGAATGCTTCCGCTCGGCGGGAGAGGGAACAGATGTTCCTTCATGCTTGCAGGGTACAGACTGCCCAGGCTGGTAGTTCGAGACATCTCGTTGCTCCGATACAGAGTAGTCAGCAGTCTGGCCCACTCATGCCTGGCAGTTCAGGACCCTCACTCAGATGCAGAGTGGTCAGCAGTCCGTGTCAGTGATGCCTAGCAATTCTGAACATCGCCCTATTATACGTATTGTTCATCGGCGGGACTCCACTTATGAGTCGGCTGTCAAAAGTCCGGAGGATGATGATGATGATCATGATGATGATCATGACGACGACGAGCAGGCCTATGATGATGACGAACAGGCTTATGAGTCGGACTTTGATGCAGCTGAGCAGCCACAGCCACAGCCAGGTAAATGACCCGGCCGAGTTGATCCTCCACGACAGGCTGGGGGTCGTTATATGGGCGCTGCCTCATCCTCAGGTAAATGATTTACGTATTTATTGTTGTTTACCATTAGATATTATTTTAATTAATAATAGCGCATCATTGATAAAGTCAATCACTATATGTCGTATATATATTGATTGTTCTATTCTAATACAGGGGCAAGCAACAAACGCACTAAGTGTGACCACTGGCTTGTTAAAGCCCCAGTACCCGGTGGCCCCATTGACAGGAGTGTTATCCCTAGTTTTCTAGGGCACGTAGCCTCCCGGATTTGGACTAGACATGTTAGAGGCACGTTGAAATGCCAAAACAGGATGGCAGCGAACGGTGTTTTGAGGGAGTGGCTCGTAGAAATGGTTGATGCTCTGCGAGATCTGATCCGTCCGACCGGGCTGTCACATTTGGCGTCCAGCATCCATGACCACGTCGACACTCCACTTATTTCAGCATTTGTGGAGCGTTGGCAGCCGGATACCAACTCATTTCACCTGTCTTTTGGTGAAATAAGTATCATGCTGCACGACGTGAGGGCCATATTAGGGGTTTCTGTCGTTGGTGCGGTAGTCACAGGGGACCCCGACAGCATGACACAACAAGCGCACTGCATGGAGCTCCTGGGGTGGACCAGGAAAAGCTGATGGCGAACTTTTGGGGTCACGACTCGGTGACGAATGAAGCCGTTTTTACTGCGTTAGAGAAGAATAGCGCAGGTCGATCGGCTGAGCATGTGGCGATTGGCTGGTTGTGGGTACTGCTCGCTACCACCTTGTTTACAGACAAGAGTGGTAACAGGGTCAGTCCCAAAATCCTGCACGAGATGATGGAGGACCTGCAGAGTGTTGGGACTTACTCGTGGGGCTCGGCCGCACTGGCATACCTATTCAGACATTTAGGTATGGCCAGCAGGGGGAGTCTGGGGGAGTGGGGGGCTGCTTGACTCTCATGCAGTCCTGGATATACGAGTACTTTCCCACCTTCTGACCCGCATGAAAATTAGTAGAATTGTTTTTTGTTTTGGATTTGTAACAAATTAGTAGAATTTTTTTTTTTTTTTTGGTTAGTTAATTTTATTTTCATCTAAACAAAAAATTCTCCCACTATATCACGTGAAACGGTAAACACGGCGAGATATCACAATCTATCACTCATAACGCATGAAAATAAAATTTAAAAAAAACCGCAAACATAAGTCGAATATCACAATATATCAAATTCCAGCTGCAATACGAATATCAAGCCACAACTGAAACCTGCTCTGGTACTGATCTGGCCAATCTTCAACCGAAACATCTCGGTATCTCTCCCAAAAATTACACAAAGGCGGTAATGGAAAATCAGAACACAGATTCACATGAATGAAGTGCTCGTAGGAACCAAGATGAGCTATGACGATCTCACGGTCAGGTCATGTAGCCATGGATGCTGCGCGGAGCGGCAATATCGTCATACTGGCCATGTTCATATTGTTATCGTTGGAACCATAGCCTAACAAATGACAACTGCATTGAACAGTGTAGCAATAGCAAAAAGATCGCCTGTAGCATTCATCCAATGCTCCTGGCCACAAGGACCCCCGTCCCATCTTATACGATCGATTGCGGCGCCGACCCCATCCCAATAAAATGGAGCATACAAATGAATGTTGGCTGCAACCTCATTTGGAATATTATTTCTTGCCAATTGCCACATCTGCTGATCCCTATAAATGTAACTCGCAACCACCCGAAATCCGCAGTTCCCATCCGGCGTCACATCCAGATAACTCTGTACGTAGCTGTGAACTACGTAGGGAATCCTACCAAAATGTCGGTATTGAAAGAATTCTGTCTCGAAAGTATCTATAATATCAGAATAATTTCACGTCACAATTTAGGTAATTGAATTTACAAACATAATTAGTCATCGTTCAGATAAAAAATAAAATAAAATTACCTGTCGGATCTTGAGACGATGAGCTTGTCGGGGCACACAAAGAAGTGGTTGTACAACCCACCGGACGACCTCTTTCCCTGTATTCCCACATCGACAGAGCACGAAGAAGTGCTCTTATGCTCCGGCCAACGACCTGTTTCCGTGTACCCTGATTGCGATGGAGCACACGAAGAAGTGCTTTTACGCCCCGCCGTACGGCCTCTTTCACTGTACTCCCATCTTGATGGATCGCGTTTTGTTGAATTTTTCTTCTTGGACCGACCTCTAGGATTTTCCTTCACTGCAGGTTTTGTGTATCCATGTTGATCAGGGTGAAGTTGAGAGTCGATGACATGGTTCAGGTACCGTATAGTCGCAGGATCGGCCGCTTCAACCTCCTCGGCAAGCCTCCGAAAATAAACATGATCAGTCCATCCACGCGCCGATGCACTCTGTTGACCTGTCTGTACAGAAAATTTAAAAAATTATACAATATGCTCTATCAAAAATTCTATAAATGAAGCAATACGTGGAGTAAAAAAAAAAATTAAACAAAATTTAGGAGAAAAAAAAATGTTGAGCATGATGTTCTATAGATTTATTAATCTCGCAATTATACCTGGCTGCGTCACCTCTAGTGTGCTCCAGAGCCTGTGGATTTCGTTGGGCGTAATCACTCTACCTACAGTGTGTGCCTCCCTTAGCTCACAGGCACAAGGAAGTCCATGAGTGTATTTTAGTGTACAATCGCAGCGCTCCGAAACATCTTTATCGAAGTCTCTCATCTTCTGAAGCTCATCATTCAATATATCTATACAGTAATGCGAGACCCGCAGTTTCAACTGCTCGAAAGGGAATCCCCAATAGCACGTACTCATCCTAAGTCTCGAAGACTCCAGCGTCTCCCTGGTAATACATTACGTAACATGAGACCCAATTAAAATTTATAATTAATACATTAATAACACAGTCTTACTGTGTAACTTAAAGAATATACCTGACTTGATTCAATTGAGAATCAATCTCCTTGTCAATCTTCTCCCAAACCGTGTCGAGCGAACCGGTCGACGTGTTAAGCCACCGCTTCAACGTAGCATGGGAACTCTCTACCCTACACGACGTTGTGTTGCCAAAATGTAAGACAGTGTCTGTCCACACTTTGACAAACTTCTCCTTGTGCACTAGCCATGTCTGATCCACATAATCCAGCACACGAGGAAACGTCGCGTATGCAACAACCATATCAGCTACGACAGTTTTGTATTTGTCCCACGTGCTCGACTCGACAACCTTCTTCCACTTGCCGTGAGTGAACTTCTCCGCGAAGAGCTTATTTTTCGACATTATTCGATAGACCCTGTCTTCCACATCCTTGTTGATGTGCCACGTGCAGAGTAAATGGGGTGTCGTCGGGAAATTCCTCTGAATAGGAGTAATCAACCCCAACTCCCTGTCACTGACAATGACTGAAGGATGTACATCAGGCCCTATCAGAAGTCTCAACCGCTGTAGGACTCAGTCATAGCTGTACTCGATCTCGTCCTTGATAATTGCATAAGCAATTAAGAAGTTCTTGTTGCACGGCGTCATTCCAACCATCTCAACCAACGGCATGTGGTACCTGTGCAAATGAAAGCAGCAAGAGGAAAAAACATAGAATCAAAAAACTTACTCAAACATACTATTTAAGATTCACATTATATTGTTATTTGTAACGTAATGTAACATACCTGTTGGTTTTGTACGTGGAATCTATACCGACATACCAGTAATATGTCCAGAATAGACTGGCTGCTCGTGGCTGCAACATGAACACACGTGTCAACGCCCGTGTGTCCAAGTTAACATCTGTGTAAACTATGTAGTTGTAGCCCGTAGCCAAAAGCAGAAGCTGGCCAGCAACATCTCTACCCTCCAGACAGTCTTTTCACAATTGAGCTTTATAGTTATACACTTGTTGGTAAGTAGCGTTGTTCACAGGGTTTTTCTCCTGAATTGGAGCCAAAATTGCTACCGGTCTTGCCTGAGCATTACTCATATCACGGACAATCTCTTAAGATGAATCGCTGAGTCGGCTCATCTGTCGACGACCCTCGGGATGCACAGCCAACGCATGATTATGAAATCCCTTCTCGTCTTCTAAAGGAAGCCAGATACTCCATTTTTGGGGATTTGCTTCAAATTTGACTTTTATCAGAAAATGGCAGCCAGTAAATTTAGTCTTCGAACGTCTCAAAACAGCATTCACAAAATTTCCTAGTTTTCCTGTCTTGCCTCTGTAACGTTTCCCTCGATAACTGTCAGACCAATAAAAAGACGTGCCTTTTTAATTTTTTTTTTAAATGCAAATAAGCGCCAAAAGTCGGGACAGTTAACTGAGACCATAAAAGCGTAAAAGTGTAAACATTATACATATTATTGTCTTAATTATTTATAGGATCAGTTATGTAAATATTTCTTGCAATGAGATAAGATGTGCCCTTATTTCCAAACGGTACCACACCACCATATAAGACAGAGTTGGGGGTGTTTGAGAGGGAGGCTCCAGACGGCGAAAATTATTTGGAAATTTGACCGGACGAATCAAGTTCTGGGAATAGGGAAAAATGAATGGCAGCTGCGCTAACATCCTCCTGTGCGTGTGTTGCCGGCCCGAAATGGCAGCCGCACGAGCATCAATCTCCCGCTCCGAGGCCGGTAGACGGCGAGCGAGGTTCCCGCGACGGCTCATCTCACCTCGGCGTCTTGGGCGGCGGGCTCGGAGTCAGAATCGGCGGCGGATACGACGTTGGGTGCGGTGAGCTTCGAGCAAGGGAAATCCAGCTATGGAGATGCCTCGGGGAGCCGGAAGTGGTTCGACTGGGGCTCGTCTTTTCTCATATCAGTAACAATTTTGTTTATCAAAAATTTTTGAACTCGGTTATGTTTAATCAATTTGGGTTGATTTTGGAGTTGGCATTGTTGCATGGGATACACGATGTATAACATTTTAAGTTAGGATTTGTTGTGTGATGTTTGGTGGTAGGGTTTGTTTGAAATGACAGTGATAAAGAAACTCCATAAGTTTAATGGGTGATAACCATTTGTATCAATTGTTTGCAAAATGTGGGGTTTCAAACTGGGGCTTTGGTTATGGGTATTTAGACATAACACCCCACTTTATTTTAAAAGATTTATCGAATTTATTTATAAAAATCATAATAAATTTTTCGCAAATCTCAAAATAAATTTAAAACTTAATGGGCACTACTTAACTATCAAGAACTTTTAATCGAAAATACAACCACATCAATTTAACCTCGGAACATGCATGATAAAAAAAATTATAAAGTCTTACTAGCATTTAATAAATTCCAAAACCAGAGCAAACATTTTCCAAGTTTTCAAATGACGAAATCCAAAATCCCAAAGCATGCAGAAAGGAAATATCCAAGTCTAAGCATCAGTCTATCAAATTCATAAAATAAATGGAAGCAATAATAATCATAAATAAAGAAACGAGACCACCACTCGTCTTGCCTCGTCACCCGCCATCTACTCAACATGCATCCGTAAAGAGCAGGTGGGAGTGAGTACAGTTGAAAAATATTGTACTCACACTATGCATATGAAACAACTCAGAATATGTTAAGATGGAATGGTCGCAGCATGAGCATAAACGATAAATAATCATGTCTCATCTCTAGTCACATCAATGACTCTAGTCTCATCAAAGACTTACTCATGTGCACATGTACGCTCATCAAAGCTCAGCCATGCCATATCAGTGAAGCATGGGAGTGCGTGCCACATCAATGACACGGTCTTCTCATAGGTCTTAATGAGATTTACCTCGTAAGGGTAACCATATTTCATTATACGGGGACAACCGTACCGATAGCCATCAAGCTCACATCGATAGGCTACATGCTCACATGCATACATAAATCATATCAGTTAAATATATTTAAACACACATATGCACAGGTATTTTAGAATAACTAATCCACCTGGATTCCGAATTGATAAGAGCAAAATAGAAGGTACATAGGTCGAGACTTGACTCCTCAAACACCTACATTAAGTCAAGATTCTAAAATCAACATCTATCTTGACTTAAACGGAAAACACCAATCATATTTAGTCGAACTTGATTCGACTAAGTTATTCGTGAAGTCCTGTGGACGTTGGAACACTTAGACTCGACACTTACACACAACCAAACACATATGGGAGTTCACATAAATTCAACTAAGAGTTGACCAAGTCAAACGAACAAGTAACGGCATGCGAGTCGGTTTACAATTTTTAACACAAAAACTATATTTTTGAAATACTAGTCAATAAATCACATAATCAGGTTGGTCAGGTTGCCGAATGAGTTAAGCTCTGAAATTTTGTCATACCACAAATTAAGCTCCTTGAATCCTTGTGGTAAGTCGGTTGTAACACCTGCTTAATTAGTTAAAGGATTCATGGATTATCAGAAAAGAAGAAGAAAAATTAAACTAAACGGACATTACTCAAAAACTTCTTTCTTTCAAAACATTCAAACATGGATACACGTTCCAAAACAATTGCATTTCGAATTAATCATATCGTAATTCAAACATTCAAATTTAATTTAAGTTTCAACAGAGTTGGCGGAAATATAAAACATAACTAAAGTAGACCAGCCCCGTCCACTCGTGTCCGCCGCCAGCTCGATCAACATGAAAAACAAAGGGATGAGCACAGTCTCTCGGCTCAGTGATAAAATTCATACTATGCATCGATTCAGCATAAACACGGATAGGATAATAATCATATGAACATGCAAAGTGCACTGTCTCACATATGTTCTGATAACAACCCGGCTTCAAGCCCCCAGGTAGACCCGGCTAATTGACTCTTATTTCAAGCCCCCAGTATCTACTCGGCTAATTAGCTATTATACACCGTTAACCTAAATTCATGAAGGTTGGTCATTACCCGACTAACTGACTCTTACTTCTCAAACTTACTTGACTACTATTTCAAGCCCCCAGGTAAGTTCGGAATAACTCTTGAGATTCGACTCCTCAAAATCTATGATTTAAATAATTTTTCTTCTTATTACTAAAGGTGACGACAAACAAACAAATAAGACAAGAAAGGACATTTAAAAACACATAAGGCAGATAAAACACACAACACACAGCACCGCACCTAAAATATCTACAGCAAATTCACACAACTAATAAAGGCAAAGAGCACACATACTCGTGTTTATCTATCTGCAAGAACTCTATAGTTTGAGCATGCTTATAAAGTGGTTCTTAACTGAAATTTCACATCTCAAACTCATAAATTTCAGCACCTAAGGTAGTCTATAACAGCAGCACCACAAGTCGAATACAAGCAAAGCCAAGCACTCCAAAATCAAGCTCTCTATACTCTACAACTTAGGCATGTCCATACTTAAGATTCAAGGCTAAAAAATAACCCTTCAAGGCTCAACTTCCAGCAAGGAAAAGCACTAACAAGAAGGCTCTTAGGCTGAACATAATAACCTCTTCCAACACAACACTTAGCAGCATATTTTCAGCACACAACCAATTAAACAGGGCTCGAGCATT